GGGCAAGGCCCGTATACGTAACCTAAACGTTTGTACCCCTGTAATATGCTGAAATTTTTAAAAAATTAAAAAAAAAGATTTTGGGGATTTAGTGTAAAAAATAGAATGTAGAACATCTCAATAATTTTCATATTGATTACATGCTGAAATGACAATACTTTGAACATATTGGGTTCCAGATAATATGTTTTTAAAATTAAAAAAAAAACTTGTACACAAATGTTTACTAGGGCTTTATTCATAATAGTAAAAAACTGGAACAGACTCAAATGTGTTTTGGTGGGTAAATGTTCAAACATATTCGTAAATGCATACCACAGAATACTACTGAGCAGTAAAAAGGAAAGAACTATTGATGCACTCAACAACCTAGATGAATCTCTGGAGTGCAAAGAGCCAATCCCAACAGTTTCCACAATGTATGATTCCATTTATATAACATTTCTGAAATGACAAAATTATAGAAATGAAAAACAGATTCGCTGTTGCCAGAGGTTGAGGCAGGGGCAAGAGGGAAGTGGATGTGGCTATAAAAGGGCACCATGAGAGATCCTCGTGGTGATGAAATGTTCTTGACTTTATCAATATCGATACCCTGATTGGGATATTATATTATAGTTTTTCAAGATGTCACCAATGGGGCAACTAGGTAATGGAGATATAGGGTCTTTCTGTGTTATTTCTTATAACTGTATGTGAATCTATAATTACCTAAAAATTAAAAATTTAATTTAAAAAACACAGAGGTCAGAACCCTAAGAAGTAGCCATTTCTAAAGAGCCATTAAAGGGCGGGGGTGGGGGTGGGATGAAGGCCGAAATGGAGCAGCCAAAGAGTATAGAGAAAAAAGGGGGAGAGTGGAGCCCCAAGGTCCAAAGGAAGACTGCTTCATGAAGGAAGGATTGTCAAGCGGTTTGCATCCTGTGCAAAATTAAGTGTAGGACCAAAAAAGAGCCAAGTCATTTGAAAGTTGGTAAGTTGATGATAATGGTCCCTGAGATTGGAAGGCGGACATCAGCTGATGGATGAGCAATTGATGAGGCAAGGAAGTGGAGAAAAACACTGTTCTTCCACAAGTTTGGTGGTGGGTGGAAAGAAAGAGTCTGGGGATAGTGCATGAGGGCAAGATAGGAGGGCATGGGTTCCATTTTTGCTGTCTAAAAATGGAGATTTAGGCATTCTGTAATTTGAAGAGAGGCCGGTAAGGAAGAGACAGATCAAAAGGCACATGGGCAGAATGGAACCGGGAGAGGGGTCAAAAGCTCAGATGAAATATTAAGTAACCTTGAAAATGAGAAAAAAACTTTCCCTGTGAGGGGGAAGGAAGAGATTGGGATATGCAAAGAGGTAACAAATTAGGAGATGGGGGAAAGGAGGCTGAGAGAATACCGTGGCTCTCTCTCCTTCAAGGCTCAGCATCCTCCCACCCCCGCAGCCAGGAGCCACCTCTTCACTTAAACTCAACTCAGGTGACTCCCTGTTCCAGGAACCTTTCCTTCAGCTCTCTTGTCATGCCTCTATCGATCCCTTCAGAGTTGCATAAGAGTCCACTTAATGAGTATTTATTGAGAGAACATAAATCAAAAAAACGTAATTGGTATACCTCATATTAAACTTCTCTCTTCCACATCTATTTGGACAACCAGTAGTACCCTTTGTATTAGGAGTTAGCAGAGAATAAGACTAGGGGGAAAAGAAGGCTCATAAAGTACAAAGAGTGGAAGAGGGCCTTTGGGATTTGACTTTGACTTATGGCTGTTGGGATAACTCCATGGGAATGAAGAAGGGGTAGGTTTGGAGAAACAGGAACATAGAATAAGTGAAACAGAGCTCAAATCAAGAAAGAAGGTACTAAATACAACAAAGAGAGACAAGTGATTTTCCTTCAGCACATTTGCCTCTTTTCTGTCATCTAGGGAGATGTTGAAACCCACACCTAGGGTTCTCCTACTGGAACAGTCGTTCTATCTCACAGTCCTCTTCTATTTTCCTTCATGAATTTGTGAAAAATCTGTCTCTTTATTTCGTTTTAAGTAGTATTTCCATATTTGTACAGGTAAAATTCAGTATTAAAACAAGAATCTTTCTGCCGAAACCCGGGATCGAACCAGGGACCTTTAGATCTTCAGTCTAACGCTCTCCCAACTGAGCTATCTCGGCTCCGCCCACGTCGTTTTAAAATAAAGTCTAATGACTTTATCAGTTCCATCATCTTCTCCCCTAAATATTAAGTTTTTATTTATAAAACACCATAACAAACACTGTAAGTGAACCAAAAACAAATTTAAAAATTGTTTCTGTCTTCAAACGGTTCACCATTTTAGGAGGAAAAAGGCAAGAAGACTACACAATTAATGCTACAATTTATTCCCGGTTGAATCCAAATATCGAAGCGGAGGACACTCTGTCGTCCTTTTGCGACGCCACACCTCCTTGTAGTTCAGATTTTATTGGTTGGTGCGGAACAGGAGGTGGGTGCATGGCCGTTGCCCTGACTCACGCAGGAAGTGGGAACAGGAAACTATGCACAGGTGGAGTTCTAGATTCATAGAACTCTTTTAGAAGCCGTTTAGCGTCTTCCCTGGTGGTCTAGTGGTTAGGATTCGGCGCTCTCACCGCCGCGGCCCGGGTTCGATTCCCGGTCAGGGAAGGAAAGTTTTTTTTTTTCCCCCCCACCCCAAGGAAAAGAGGAAATCTCTAATGAGTAAACATTACATTGGGTATAAGTGAATTTTCATTTTTCATACGAGTTATTTCCTGCCCAGAGACCCTACGCCTGTCTTGGTATGCCAAATGAAAAATGATTCTCAAGAATTATTAAAAAGTTATTAATGAATACTTAATCTGGTGTAGACCGAGTGCCCGGCCCTTCACAATTTTTAACTCATCCAATTGGATGATTCAGTGAGTGGGAAATTTCGGAGGCAAATGATTAACTTTAAAAGTTGGTTGTTGAGAATAGCATAACACGTTGGAAAGACAATTATGAAGATGAGAGGGAAGAAATGGGGACGTAGTTCCCAGCATATTTGATTTCAGAACTCACTGTGCGGAGCTTCCGAAACTGCGAGAGCTGCGGGGGGTTAAACATGCGCTCCGGCTCCCTCGGATTCCTCGGCTCCGCCCCGCTCCAGCTGGCGCTGGGGTACAGCCCCAGAACACCGCACAGCAGCTGTGAATCCTGGGCCAAAGCGGTCTCCGGGCTGCTTGATCTCCCTGGAGCCTCAACCTGTCTTCGCCTGTGAACGTACAAATTACCCGTTTTTTTCCTAAAAAAGGGAATAGGAGGAGGTCATAAGCATCAAAGGGAACTACTGTCACAAAACTGAGAAACGGGCAAACGATGTATTCAGCATCTCTGAATGCACACCTGAGAAGTTTACTGATAGCTACCCCAGAAAAGGCAGACTTCATTATTCTCCTGATTTTTGACAAGATTCCGTGTCTCTGTGCTAATTGGCTCCTGTCTGACAGTATTGAGGCATGAATCTTTATTACTTGGTGTCAATCTAGAAATAATCAAAAGGCTCGGGATCCAGTTAGATGAGTTTATTCTAGCGCAAAATGTGAGGGCCGTCCTAGCAAACACTGACACCAAAGAAAGGTGATCAATGTTCCCTGTGAGGAGGATCATTTATATAGGCAGACACCGAGGTGCTGACAGAATTCTATTTTCCATACAAGGCTAACACACAGATACAAGATTTGATGGCTCCTATTGATTACACTTTAAGGGGGTTGTTTAACGTTTTATTGTGAACAGGTAACAATCACAAGGGTCTTTATCTCCAGAGTCATTTAGCCTAGGTTCGAATGAAGACTAGGGAGTCTGGTTAATGTATTGTATCTCAACACAAAGGTCAGGAAGCAATGGTCAGGCACCAGAGAAGAAAAACAGCCGTGTTTCACAACTCTGCTTCCAGGGATTAATTTTTCCCCTTGGCATAACAAATGTGGAAGGTCCTGAAATTTTCTATTCTTTTAACATTGCTCTAAATAGCAGACACAAATGTATTTATTGCTTATTATTTCTTTCTTATTTCTTATAAAATTTCGATGCACGTGTAACTTCTCCACAAACTTCCAAACAAAGATCATGATGTCCCTGATCTTGTTTTACCAATAGATGGGGGACATAATGTTTTATGAACATGTTAAATGAAGCAGTACTCTTTTTCTCATTAATTGCACATTCCCTTCTCCCCTCCTCCAACCCCCACACATAGATTCACAATTTTCAAAACTTCAGTGAGCTGGGACTCTCCTTTGTCAACTTATCAGTTCTCTCCTTGAGTTAATAAACTTTGACACATTATGTAAGATCAATTTGACTAAGAAATTTTGTTTTGACATAAAAGTAGCATAGTTCGTCAAATTCCTATATGTACTAAAGCTATTCTGTGCCTGTCTGTCTGAGAACTAAATTCTGATCTTTTTCTTTTGCCCAAATTCCTTTCTGAGGGGGCCTGGTGAGTCATGCCTACAAATGATAAAATCTCACTAACTAGCTTTTGTTAACTCTATATAATGTGGTTTACTTCCCAACCTGATTCTGGTATAGCATCACATGAAAGACGGAAGACCCTTATCTTAACCCTTTTCCTCTGACTCCTGGTCTTTTAGACAAAGCCTAACTCTTTCAGCCAATTGTCAACTAAAGAATCCCTAAATCCACCTATGACTTGTAAACCCCCACTTTGAGATGTCCCACCTTTTCAGGCAAAATGAATCTACGCCTTCCATGTATTGATTTATGACTTTACCTGTAATTCCTGTCTCCTTGAAATGTATAAAAACAAACTGTAGGCCGGGCGAGGTGGCCCACGCCTGTAATCCTAGCTCTCTGGGAGGCCGAGGCGGGCGGATTGTTGGAGCTCAGGAGTTCGAGACCAGCCTGAGCAAGAGCGAGACCCCGTCTCTACTAAAAATAGAAAGAAATTAATTGGACAACTAAAAATATATAGAAAAAACTAGCTGGGCATGGTGGCGCATGCCTGTAGTCCCAGCTACTCGGGAGGCTGAGGCAGGAGGATCGCTTGAGCCCAGGAGTTTGAGGTTGCTGTGAGCTAGGCTGACGCCATGGCACTCACTCTAGCCCAGGCAACACAGTGAGACTCTGTCTCAAAAAAACAAACAACAACAAAAAAAACAAACTGTAATCCAGTCGCAGCAAGTCCACTTGCTCAAGGCTTCTCAGACATGGCTCTAGGTCATGGTCCTCAAATTTGGCTCAGAATAAACTTCTTTAAAATATTTTACAGAGTTTGGCCTCTTGTTGACAAGTCTAATGTTTCATAGGAATTCAACCCTCTAAGCCTGGTGACAATCACTTCCTGACCACCACCCTCTTCTCATGATATTGTATGTACTTTGTCTCCTCTATGTTACTGTACTTTGTCTCCTCTATGTGTAGCAAGAATCCTTTGGCTCATTAGTTTTTATGTCTTCGTTTTTAGGGAACAGTTTTTTTGGGACCCCAGAATATGTTCACAGAAGGAACTATCTTGATTAATGCCTGTATATTGTTTTCCTTTTTTTTTTTCCGTTTCCAGATAAAGCTAATTGGATTAGAGACAAAGAACTCTTCTTTGAAAGCTACATGATTTTCTTTCCTTCTTCTATTATGAACTATTACTCACTGTCTATGGAGGAAAAAATCCCCCAGTTCTGTATTTTTGCACAGTAGGTTTTATTTACTCATCAGACCGTTAACTGATTACTTGTCACCTCAGAGCAAAAGTGGCCAAAATATAACACAATAAAATCTTCAAGACAAGAAGATGATAGAGGATGTAAATGGCTGTAAGAAAAGGACAACAGATGGGGCCAATAAATCAATCTGTGAATATTGAGAGCCAGTAGGCTTGTACTACACTAGTCACTGCGGAAAATGAAAAATGAGCAAGACACAATCTTACCTCTTAACACCCTTAAACCCCAGTTTTCTCATTTGTAAAATAGAAGTAAGTTAGTATTTACTGTATAAAGTTGTGAAACATAAGGGAAATAATGTACAAAAAGTACTCAGCTATACTATTGTCTGAATCTGTACATTATCATTTCCATTATCATAATTATTATTACTCTATGGTACTTATGTTGAGGGGAGGAGACAGAAAGCGTGTCAATGGAAAACAACTCAAACTCTGTAAAATAATTTAAAGAGGTTTATTCGGAGCCGAATATGTGTGACCAAGGCCTGGAGAGCCACACCCAAGAAGCCTTGAGCAAGTGGTCTCACTGTGGTTGCGTTACAGTTTGATTTTATACATTTCTGGGAGATAGGAATTACACGTAAAGTCACAAATTAATACATCAAAGGCATACATGATCCAAAAAGACAGGACATCTTGAAGTAGGACATCACAAGTTATAGGTGGGTTTAAAGGTTCTTTGATTTGCATTGGTTTAAGAAATGAAGTTTTGTTGTAAAGGCTTGGAATGTTTTAAGTTAAGATAAGGAAGTCTGTTAATCAGAGACAAGCCACTGGACATATACCAAGATTCAAGTGATCTGTTAATAAATTGATGACTTGCAGGTGTGGTTTAACCTTTGTCTTACATGGCCTTAGGCCTTTTAATGATTTTGTAACTTACTGTTACAAAGAACAACTCCAAAAGGGACAGGGCATAACTAGGCATGTCTGACCTCCCTTTTCCTCATGGTCAGCAACTCAGCTTTAAGGGGTTTTTTTTTGGAGGGGTCCCCTTGGCCAAGAGGGGATCCATTCATTTGCCTAGAGGGTTTAGGATTTTATTTTAGTTCACATGAATAAAAAACTTTTTTATTGGGCAGAAAACATGCTAAAATGAAGTGTGGAAAAGCACAGTGGTGGGGGGTGTGTGTATGACAGAGAGAGAGAGCGATCTGCCAGCAGGGTGGAGAAGGGCCTATTTGAAGTGGGCTTTGAAAAATGAACAAGATTTCTGTGAGGGAACAAAATGAAAAAGGGCATTCCAGGACAAGATATCAGGAGAAGCAAAAGCACAGGATTATTAAAGCTCTTGAACCATTTAGGACTTTGACTTCTGAACTAGAAACCTGGAAAATCTCTGCTACTGATGTTGAGACAGTGTAGGGACAGGACTCAGGCCTTGCTTCTGACCAAGGGAGGCAACATGAAACAGCATGACCCAGCCTAATTAACTGTAGAAGAAAAAAATACCAAAAACCCCCCAAAACCCAAATGACCTCCTAGCCACTGGAATTCAGTTCAAGAGGGGGACAAACCATCTGTCTGTTGAGTAATGTTTTCCAAGATGACTGAAGCAAGATGCTGATGCTAGCTGATAAGGAAATTGGCTGCAAATAAACCACACCTATCTGGATCTAACCAATTCAAGCCAAAAAAGACCTCCACACTGACCTTACCCTGACTTTTCTCTCATTATAATCTCATTTTAATGCTAAAAATCACACCCAGGGTGGAGATTTAACATGCTAATGAGATATACCACATATGAAGAAACTCGTAATAAAACTATGCAGGCACAAGAAAATTTCCACCTCCACATGCTTACATGTCATCTTTTTTCCTCCTAAGCCTCTTTAAAACTCTTCCCGAACTCCTCTCTGGGAGCCAGCCTGAGGATTTTTTCTTTGTGCTGTCTCTCTTGCGTTTGAACATAAACCCCAATAAAGCCCTGCCTGTCACTCTCATTCAGCCTCTTGCTAATTTCTTTTATGACAGCCCAACCAGGTTCATTGCCTGCTGCTCAAGAGGAAGTCAATACAGTGAGACAGCAGGGATTATAGCAGAGAAAGAGTTTAACATGGCAGGTGCCATGCGAAGAGACAGGAGGAATTTCTCACATCTGTCTCCCTGAGAAGTTGGGAGAAAAGGTTTTTAAAGATAGTTTGGCAGGGAAAGAGGCTAGGGAATTGGGACTGCTGATTGGCTGGGGATGAACTCATAGGGTCAAGAAGCAGAAATTGTTTTATTGTGCTGAGTCAGTTCCTAGGTTGCAAGACCAGTTGAGTTGGTTTCTTGGTATGGGCCACTGGTTTGGTTGGGTCAGTTGGTCCACTGGAATGCAGGGTCTGGAAGATATCTCAAAGACCAGCCTTAGGTTTCACAAGGGTGATGCTATTTATGGGAGCAATGAAGAAAGCTAAGAATCTTCGTGACCATCAGCTACATGACTCCTGAGTAGTAAGCAATTATAGGAAAGCAAGCTAGGGAACAGTGGCTTGTTACATATATATGGCTATATATATATATATATATATATATATATATACACACACTTTTTTTTTTTTAACAAGAGTTCAGGCCCCTACCACAGTTCCCACATTATGGCCTTTTATTTACTTTATAAAGGGCGGTTTCACCATTACACAGAAAGCTCAAAGGCCTGCAAGGGTAACAATGAGATGACGTCAAATTTTTTATTTCAAGTTTTCTGGCCATACACAGTAAAACTAGAATTAGAGTTCCACAACTATGGCAGTTACTGACAAGTCCAGCACCTAGTGGTACATAAGTGCTACCCAGAAAATCTCTCAAGCCCTGGGAAACTAATTTTAAACACTTTAGAATCAACTTGGTCTCTAAAGAGAGGACTCATCAGAAACCTTTGTTTAGGCCGGGCGTGGTGGCTCACGCCTGTAATCCTAGCACTCTGGGAGGCCGAGGCGGGAGGATCGCTCAAGGCTGGAGGATCGCTCAAGGTCAGGAGTTCAAGATCGGCCTGAGCAAGAGTGAGGACCACCCCCGCCCCCGTCTCTACTAAAAACAGAAAGAAATTAACTTGACAACTAAAAATATATAGAAAAATTACCCGGGCATGGTGGCGCATGCCTGTAGTCCCAGCTACTCGGGAGGCCGAGGCAGTACGATTGCTTGAGCCCAGGAGTTGGAGGTTGCCGTCAGCTAGGCTGACACCACGGCACTCTAGCCCAGGCAACAGAGCCAGACTCTGTCTCAAAAAAAAAAAAAAAAAAAAAAAAAAGTCTCTGTTTAACTCCCAGGAATCTGTGAGGACGGTTCCGAATTTCACTCTCAAGCCCAGCCTACCAAGCAAAGCAAACCAGCTGGACTGAAGCTGCGGGTCCCTCTTGACCCAAATAGAACCAGTGAGAAAGGCAGTCCTCCTCGTTTCCTAGAGAGGACACATTCAGTGGGTAGTTGGATAGAGGGTACTAGCCAAGTGCCTTGCCAGGGACAAGGAAGAGGGATGTATTTATATCCCATTTCAATGCCTTGTTGTGACTCTGTGTGCTGCGTGCCTTTAGTCTTAACAGAGACGCACACTTGGGCTCCTTACTTTTGGGAATCTTGGACTCATAGATTGGGACCGTTCAGGCAGCCGCACCTACCAGGGACCCCCACTATCTACGCGACTGATCCTTGGAGGCTGTGGGAGAAGCTCTCCTCGTCTCTCCTTTCTTCTTTCTCCCTCTTCTTAATCTTGCCTCTTTCAGGAATCTTGGCCTTCCCTCCCGGACGGGGTCTGTGGCAAGAGCGGGATTGCAGGTCCAATCCTACCCCGGCCCCCTGCACCCAAACTGTCTTTCTTTTATTAGACTGTTTTCAGTCTTGTCTCGCTGCAACCCCCTGGCCCCGCACCGTTCCTCGGTGCATTCCTAAATTCCTCCAAGCGGGCCTTTCGAGATCTACACTGTTAACTTAAATAATAAGTGACAGAAAACGAGGGTCACAGTCAATTGAGGTTTATTAAGCCAAGATTCTGAGGACCCACGGGGTTGGGGGACGGGGAAAGTTAAACATACAAAGATCTGTTGGGGACTGGGATGTCCGTAGAAGGGGTTGAGACCTTTGCGTTTAAAAGAGAAAAAGGGGTACACAGGAAAGAGGGGAGAGATGAAGAAAGTGAGCAGTGAGGCAATCGATGGTATTCTTGTGAGGTTCTATTTGGTGCTCAGTAAATCTACATGAGATGAACATTCAAAATAGTTGAACTAGTCAATGCTGTGATCTTCTTAGAGTGGGTAGAGGAATATCTCTTCCTTTGGTTTGCATCTGTGGAGATAAAATTGTGATGGACATAAGAGTTCATTTAGGCTAACAGTCCTAAGGTTATAATTGACATGCACTCATTTTATAGGGGCTGTCTATCTTGAAGTGTTTTTCTGTTTGTTTGTTTGTTTGTTTGTTTAGGGCTCAAGGAAATAAGAAATATTTTACTCCAAAATACATTTCTTTGACATATTTTGAGATGGCAAACAGGAATAATGCTGCTAGGCTGTCTAGGTGGGGAGGCTGGGGGAGAAATTTGCATCTGTAGAGAATCTCTGTTAAATGCAGCCAGGCCCTGCCTATTTGATTTGGGACATGTTTGCTTGGAGTCGGACACTCTTAAAGGTGTGAATAAAAACGTTTCCATGAGGGCTGTTATCCATGAGGCTTAGCTGCATAACAAGACCACCTTGCCAGCCAAGTTTGCTTTCTCCCTCTCATGCTCTGTGCACCAAAAAACCCCTGTTTAGTCACTTTCCAAGCCCCTCCATTTTTTAAAAGAGGATCCCTGTACCTCATTGGGAAGAGGATGGCAGCGCTTGTGTGACTCAGTTCTTACAACGGAAAAGAACCCAAACTCTGTAAAATAGTTTAAAGAGGTTTATTCCCAGCTGAGTACGTGTGACCAGGGCCGGGAGAGTCACGCCCAAGAAGCCTTGAGCAAGTGGTCTCACTGTGTTTGGGTTACAGTTTGGTTTTATACATTTCAATATAGGAATTACACATAAAGTCACAAATCAATACATGGAAGGTGTACATTGGTTTGGCCAGAAATGGCAGGACATCTTGAAGCAGGGCATTATAGGTTATAGGTGGGTTTAAAGGTTCTTTGATTTGCAATTGGTTAAAGAAATGAAGCTTTGTCTAGAGACTTGGAATGCTTTGGCCGGGCACGGTGGCTCACGTCTGTAATCCTAGCACTCTGGGAGGCCGAGGCGGGCGGATTGTTTGTGCTCAGGAGTTCGAATCCAGCCTGAGCAACAGCGAGACCCCGTCTCTACCAAAAATAGAAAATAAATTAATCGGCCAACTAAAAATATACAGAAAAAATTAGCTGGGCATGGTGGCGCATGCCTGTAGTCCCAGCTACTCGGGAGGCTGAGGCAGAAGGATTGCTTGAGCCCAGGAGTGTGAGGTTGCTGTGAGCTAGGCTGACGCCATGGCACTCACTGTAGCCAGGGGAAAGAGTGAGACTCTGTCTCAAAAAAAAAAAAAAAAAAGACTTGGAATGTTTTAAGTTGATATAAGGAAATCTGTCAGTCAGAGACAAGCCACCTGACTTATACCTGCAGGTGTGGTTTAAGCTTTGTCTTGTATGGCCTTAGGCCTGTTAATGAGTTACAAAGAAGATATCTCTAGGAAGGGAGGAGGGCATGATGAGGCATGTCTGACCTTTCTTCTCAAGGTCAGCAACTCAGCTTTAGGGTATTTCTGGGATTCCCTTGGGCAAGAGGGGGTCCATTCAGTTGGCTAGGGGTGCTTAAGATTTTATATTATTTCACAGTTCTTAGACTCACTTCTCCCTTTTGGCATAATGTATTTTGTGGAGTCCTGAGATTTTTATTTTTGCTTTGGAACACTAAGTTCCAATCACCAAGCTGTGTGACCCAGCACTGCTTCAGTCATGAAACTGACTTGTAATTATTTAATCACTTTGCCTTTCCTGCTAGTAGTTCTGAAGGTGAGGCCCATAGGTGTCAGTGTTTCTCCTGAATACCCAGTGCCCAGGCACATAGTAGGCACTCAGTCAATGAATGAGTTGAGTGAATTCCCGATATCCACTTGTTGATATAGTCACTTTCTCTCAAATTATTTCTTCATTTTTTAATCTGTTTTCCCCTTCTTAGTTTACCCTGCAGGAATGCAAACACCAGAGAGAAAATTGGTCCCTGGATTGATCCCTTTGATGGACCAAGATGAAATTGATGAAGCATTGAACCAATTAGCACCTATCAGGAGAGTACATTTGCTCTGTGCTCCAAAGGTTAAAGTTGTCAAAAAGTGGTCAATCTCCCTCACGCTCTGGCCATCTTATCCTCAGAGATCTGGAACTGATAAAAGTACTTAGTCCTGATAGTGAAGAGGAGACTACTGCTATTGTGAGAGACTGAGAGAGGAACCTAGGCAGAGTTCAAATGGACACACCAGGTGAAAAAAGAGGTTCTTAACTTGGGATATATGATGGAACAGGGAAAAGTGAGGGTTTAGCCAGGAGGAAGAGTAGACTATGTCGCATCTGCTTTTTGGGGAATCCTTTTTCTTAGTCGTTTTCCTAAATTAATTTCCCTAGGAAATAACCTCTGGTAATTGCTAAAATATTGCAACTAAAATGATGAGATTCTACTAAATCAGCCAATTTTTGACTTTTTTGGGAGGAGAAGGCCATGTGAAGACAAAGCAGAGAGATATTTGTAGATGCCGATCTTAAAGGCTGAAGAGACGTGGCCACAAGCCAAGGTATGCCAGCAACCACCAGAAGCTGGAAGAGGCAAAGATAGGATTTTTCCTCTAGAGTCTCCAGAGGTTGCTGGATCCTGATTTCCACCTTGGTTTTGGCCAGCCATACTGACTGGATTTCTGGCCTGTAGCATTGTGAGAGAATAAATTTGTGTTGTTTTAAGTCATATGGTTTGTGGTAATTTGTTACAGTGGCTACTATGTAACACTATGTAATAAATTTCATACGAACAATTCAAATGTAGGAATTTGTGAGACAGCCTAGTTTTCATTGGACTATTTAGATAAAAATGCTTATCAGCATTGACTTTCTTGAAGATGAATGGTGAAACAAACACACTTTAGCGATAGTTAACTTCCTTTATTGCAATCTTATTTCTGTCATAAACTATGCAGTTCATTTTTACATTAGGACTCCCGTGTCTGAGTCAAAACTTTTGGGTCAAGGAAACCTGCGGACTACCACCTGCACTAAGAAGAGAAAGGCAGGGAGAGATTTTATCAGTGTATTATTGCATTGTATCATGGCAGCAACTATACTTTTAAATGATCGGAATCTTGGCTTCTAAAAATGAACAGCCCTGTTCCTTTCGCCCTGGGGGCATTTCTGCAGAGACCGCGGGCCACTTCCCAAATTTTTACCTCAATAAATCACAGGGACTGCGTTCTGTTGCAGGGTACTACTTTTTTTTTTGGTAGCTACCCCTTGGCCAAAACCACTCTGCGACTCACTCAGCGGCGTGGGGGCTCCCGCTGGGCGTCACCTGCCACCGCGGACCTGCGACCCACAGCGTCCCCTGGGGCTCTCGGTCCGCGCGGCTCCTTTCTCTTGCGTTGTGACAAAAGGGGCAGGCATCTTGGATCCGCGGGCTTCCTCCCCGCGCTTCTCCCAGACTGGGTGATGGCTGAACCCCAGGCAGAGGTTCTTTGGTGGTTCTGGGGGAGCGTAAAAGAGGGAAAAGTCTCAAGAAGAAATTCACGTGAAAAATCTGAAGGGGGTGATGTTAATAGGGAAGCTGACGAGGGCCTGTCACATCACGGTTGGTAGCGTGGCCGAGCGGTCTAAGGCGCTGGATTAAGGCTCCAGTCTCTTCGGGGGCGTGGGTTCGAATCCCACCGCTGCCAAGATATTCATTCTTACTGTGGCCTGGCGTAGGAGACTTATTTCTTAATGCCCAGTGTAGATAGGCCATTCACAATCCTTCCACTGTCCGGCCCATTTTCCCCCCAACTTCGACTTCTGTTTACCCAGGAACCAGAGATAACTGCCCCCAGAACAATGCTCCTTCATTATACAGAAGCCAATATATTCTAGGTGCCCCAGATACAGCAATGAGTAACACATACCAAAAAAAAAAAAAAAAAAATCGAACCAAAACAAAACACAGCTTTTACGCCATATACTTCCTTATTACAAACAAACGAATGGATGTCAAACTCCTGGAATCTGCCTGCAACTCAAGACAGGTCCTTTGACAGAATACTTTATGTTCAAAATCAGCTGTTGTTTTTCCTCTAGTTTCTCTGTTGTGTGCTCATTTCATGTTTGGAACCCTAGTATGTGGACTGGAGAAGAGATGACTCTAGGGAAAGCACAAGTGCCTTGCCTCGCCTCGCTACTGCCGGACACATCCCACCAGCGCCACGTGCCTTCACTCCACCCAGTGCTTCTCAGTACCCCATGTCTCTGTGGCCTTCGGGGGATCCCTCCCTGCTCTGAGCAGTTCTCTCTGCACATATCGCGTCTCTCTCTCATTCTCTGGGCTTTCTTCCTGGAAGCCTTCCCTAATCTCTCCCTCTCCCTCCTACCAGCTACAGGATTACGTTTAGGGAAGACGTCGAGAGGCTATGGAGGGGAACATCACACATAGTCTGTCCCTGCCCCCATGGAACTGAAGAGTTTAGCGGAGTTCTCATGGGGCTCTAAACCATCTGATAAATTATTACCCAAATATGGTACAATCTATACTAAAAAAGAGGTAGCTCTCTATGTGTAGACTTTGAATGATGTTCCAGATTTAAGAAAATAAATAAGTTAGATAATAATATATATTGTACAACAGATGGAAGGACAGTCACCAGATTGTTCCCAGTGGTTACTGTTGAAAGACAGTTAGTTGTCCATGGGTCTCTCAGTTTCTGCATGTATCATAAGCCAGTCTCTGTACTGTTTTTACCAACAACCAATTTTCTGATTCTCCATGGACACCAACTAGGTGTTCAACAATTTAATTCTAACACTACCAGAAGTTAGTGATCCCATAGGTTAAGGACTCAGACCCACAAGACCGTTCCCTACTTTAGAAGCAAGTGGCAAGTCCCAGGACTCCTGTACTACTCACTGGCTATTAATTGGTGGTTTCCATAACTCCCTGCTCATGTTTGATAATTTGTTAGAATGGCTCACAGAACTGAGGTACACATTTTACTTACATTTACCAGTTTATTATAAAGGATACAACTCAGGAACAGCCAAATGGAAGAGATGTATAGGATAAGGTATGTGGGGAAGTACTTGAAGCTTCTGTGCCTTCTCTGGGTGAGTCATCCTCCCAGCACCCCAATTCATTCACCAGCCCAGGAGCTCACTGAACTCTGTCATTTAGGGGTCTTTATGAAGGTTTCATCATCATAGATGTGATCAGTTATTAACTCAATCTTCAGCCCCTTTTCCCTCCCCAGAAGTTGAGGGGTGGTTCTAAAAGTTCCAGGCTTCTAATTAAGGCCTGGTCTTTCTGGTGACCTGAAGGTATCTATCTAGGGGCCCACCAAGCATCATCTCATTAGAACAAAAGAGGGTTCTATCATCCAAAAAATTTCAACAGATTTAAGACCTGTGTGCTGGGAACCAGGGACAAAGAGCAAATACAAATTTCTTATTATGCCACAGTCATTAACTGCACTTTGTTTTGGAATATTTTTCAAGGGTATTTGTATAAAGAACATCCTTGGAAGTTAGAGACAGTGTCCTTATCTAGAACGAAGTACAGGCATGCTTCCTGGGTTCCCTAAGTTCAGGGTTCCTCTCCCACTCTGTATGCACCCATCCGTTTGGGCCCATTTGAGTCACATTTGTGGTAACTGGTGCTTGAGGAATCTGCACAAAGCCTGATAATCTGGTTTCTGCCATTGCTGTAAGAAATAAAATGTCATTTGTCTTTGACTCAGGAATGTCTTGTTTTCACCAGCAACCATGAAACTGGTAAGCTAATTTCTTATCTTACAAGTACAATAAAATCTCAGATTGTTCATAGCTCTTGATAGTTACATGTTGTCAACAGCAGAGAAGAGGAGACAGAGACTACTATTTTCACTTTTACTATCTGGTGTTTAAATTGTTACCACTTATGTGTATGTGGCAGTTCAAATTTCAGAATTGCAATGCTATAAAAGGACAAATATATTCTATGAATATTTCACTAATCAATGCATTACTTAGTTTTGCTTGGTTTTGAACTTTATAAAAATAATGCCATACTGTATGTTGACTCTGGGACTTGCTTTTTCCACTCAATATGAAATTGTTAATATTCACCCATGTTATTGTTCATTCATATTCACCGCTGTGAAATATTCCATAATCTAAATATAGCAAAATTTGTTTACCTATTTATTGTTGATGAACATTTGGGTTGTTTCTAGGTTTTTGCTATTATGAACAATTATGCTGTGAAAATTCTTGTGTATGAATCTTAATGCTTATGTGCAAATTTCTCAGGGTACATACCTAGGAATGGAATTGCTGGGTTGTAGGATAAAGTTAAACTTTACAAGATAATATCTAAGAGTTTATTATTACAAATTATTATTGCTTTCCAAAGGAGTTGTATCAATTAACACTACCACCAATAATTATCATAGCTTCATATCATTGCCAAAATTTGTCAATTTTCTTAACTTTGTTAATCTCATAGGTATTTCATAGTTTATTATTGTGGTCTAAATTCTTTGATTTCTGAGCATAAACACCTTTTTGAGTGTATGTTTGGTCATGCCAGGATGCTAGGATTACAGCTGTGAGCCACTGCACCTGGCTGAGATTTTAAACTATATTTTGAAAAGATAATCAAATATTTTGCTGCATTTAATGTTTACATGGTTTTTTCCCTTCATTTTGTTAATGTGGTAAATTACCTTCATTGAATTTTGAATGCTAAGCCAGCTTTGCATTACTAGAATAACTTTAACTTATTCAAGGTGTCATTTTTTAAAACATATATATTACTGGATTGTTTGTATTTTAAGATTTTTCTCAGTACATTCATGAATAATAATGGATATAAAAATGGCGTGTAATTTTCTTTTTGATTTCTTTGTCGGGGTTTGGTATCAATGTTACACAGGCCTCATGAGTTTGTTTAATGTTGGCATTATTTTTCCTTGCACCTTTAGTAGAGTTAATTGGTGAAACCATTTGAGCCTGGAGTTTTCTTTCTGGGAATATATATTTAAACAATTGGTATCAGCCTATTCAGATTTTATATTTCTTCCAGTATTAGTTTTAGAAAAAAGGAACTTCCTAAGGAAATATATTAGATAAACCTGGTAAATCTTTTCAACAGAAAGCAAGGAATCTGTCTATGGCCATACCACCCTGAACATGCCTATCTCATCTGATCTTGGAAGCTAAGCAGGGTTGGGCCTGGTTAGTACTTGGATGGGAGAAAGCAAGGAATCTATCGAAGACTACTACAGTCATGTTAAACTAAAAAGGCTTGCACTGACACCTATGAAGTAGTCTTACCAAAACAAAATCTATTTTGAATTTGATAAAGTCCCTAGATCTAACTTTTAATTTATAGGACATATAGGAGCAGAGCAACATGTTAAATACCACTAAAGGAGTGCAATCATTAGAATCCAAATCGCATGAAATTCTACAGTGCAAACAACCTAAATAAATTAAATAAATTGCAAAAAAAAAAAAGAAGAGATTGTAGGGAGAACTTATTTATTACAAGACTTAAGATACATACCAACTGGCCAGGCGCGGTGGCTCACGCCTGTAATCCTAGCTCTCTGGGAGGCCAAGGAGGGCGGATTGTTGGAGCTCAGGAGTTCAAAACCAGTCTGAGCAAGAGCGAGACCCCGTCTCTACTAAAAATAGAAAGAAATTAATTGGACAACTAAAAATATATAGAAAAAATTAGCCGGGCATGGTGGTGCATGCCTGTAGTCCCAGCCACTCGGGAGGCTGAGGCAGGAGGATCGCTTGAGCCCAGGAGTTTGAGGTTGCTGTGAGCTAGGATGAGGCTATGGCACTCTAGCCCAGGCAACACAGTGAGACTCTGTCTCAAAAAAAAAAAAAAAAAAAAAAAAGATACATACCAACTAATCACAATGTATAGACTTTATTTGAATATTGATTTTTTAAAAAATAAAGAGATAAGGTCTTGCTATGTTGCTTAGACTGGTCTTGAACTCCTGGGCTTAAGGGATTCTCCCACCTAAGCCTCCCCAGTAGCTGGAACTATAGACATGTGCCACCATGCCCAGATCTATTGTTAGTTTTTAAAAAGGAGTTATCTCCTATAGATAACTAAATATTTATGGATAAAACACAATTTCTAAAATTTGCTTCAAAATAATCTTGAGCAGAGAAAGTGGGTGGGGATATAGATGAAACAAGATTAACTAAGTTAATAATTGTTGACATTGGATGTACACATGGAGTTCATTTTTCCATTTACTCTTGCATGGATTTGAAATTTTCTTTAATAGACTTTTTCTTTAACAGAGGGGACTATAAAACTGATGGAAAGTTCTGACAGCATAACTTGGACCTTTGATCTTTATTGTAGGTTATCTGAGTGGACCACTTGCTGAGAAACTCCTGATGTCAGTATCTTTAGGTCTATCCTCCTGGTTGGATTTCTCACAGAAAACTGTTTTATTTAGCCTTTAGCCTGAAAGATGAAAGCCTGACCCTCAATATTCTGGGAGACAGTGAAGAAAGTAGGCTGGAGGTATTAGCATTCAATATGCACGTTTTTCCAATGCTCCCTTTTGGAAATTGGTTAAAAAACTGAGTTTTGGGGCCGGGCGCGGTGGCTCACGCCTGTAATCCTAGCACTCTGGGAGGCCAAGGCGGGCGGATTGTTTGAGCTCAGGAGTTCGAAACCAAGCCTGAGCAAGAGCAAGACCCTGTCTCTACCAAAAATAGAAAGAAATTAATTGGACAACTAAAAATATATAGAAAAAAAGAATTAGCCGGGCATGGTGGCACATGCCTGTAGTCCCAGCTACTCGGGAGGCTGAGGCAGAAGGATTGCTTGAGCCCAGGAGTTTGAGGTTGCTGTGAGCCAGGCTGACGCCACAGCACTCACTCTAGCCTGGGCAACAAAAGCGAGATTCTGTCTCAAAAAAAAAAAAAAAAAAACCTGAGTTTTATCTGGTGATTTTTCTAAGTAAATTATAACCATATTGGTAACTCTTGTTTTGATAATTTTTCAGAATTAGAACTACAGTTATCTTAGGGTTTCAAGCAACACTAACGTGTTTTAACATTCGACTGTGCATTTGATCTTTGAATTCCTTCAACATCATGCCTACCAAACTTATTACCTTATGGTAGTCTATTCCAGTTGAGGATCTTTTAAGTATACAGAGTGTCTCTCTGTAGCTTCTACCCATGGACTGTAGATCTATGCCCTGGGATAACTGCACAACAAGATTAACCCACTGTTCACAAAGTTGTCCTTCAAAATTTTCAAGACAAATCAAAATCTTTCTTTGTCAAGTGAAATATCTGAAATTTATTCAAATGCTCTCCCACGAGGTTCATTTTAAATGTTTAGGAAACATGAAAAGATTTCTGGAGGCCAAGCTAGAATAATAATTTGGAGTTTCTTACTACAAGATTGGGTGTCAATTAGGAGCTTTTGAAACAGGTGTCAGTATCATAGCAATATTTTAGAATGACAATGACATGTTGAAGACAGATTGGTGAAGGTAGACTCTAGAAGTAATCTATTTGGACTCAATACAGAGGCTATCAGAGAAAGGGATGGATATAAGAGATACTTAAAGCCCTGAAAAGTTAAAAATTTATTAATAATTTTGAAAGACTATTTCATTTGTCATTCAAATGGACATAGCAAATATTTAAGAAATAAACACTTAGAAAAATTTCCTTGTATTTATAACTCAAAGTGGGGCAGGCTTCATGCTCTTTCCATATGTAAACTGCTACTTGAACAATGTACAGCTGATTTCTCCTTATCTATAATTTAAAAATCTGCCCTCCCCCATCTCCTTTTCACCTTGAATCTCAGCAATCCTAATATGTAGAAGTATCATTCAAGCTTTATGTAAAAAAAAAAAAAAATGCTAAAAATGATTCATGTTTATCGATTAAAAAATTGTTTTGTGCTGAGTTGATGTATAATTTCATGTCCAAAAGATGTGCATGCATGTGGGAATTGCCTAGGTAAGCCTGAGTATTCAGGAGTCATTTGAGCAGAATTTACTAATTATGTGATCCTGGCCAAGTTTCTTAATCTTTCTATGCTTCAAATTCCTTATCTCATAGGGATGTTGCATGGATTAAACAAGATAAACTGTGTAAAAACCTTAGAACAGTGCCTGGCACACAGCAAGCACTATTAAGTATTTATTATTATTATAAAGTGATTGACAAACTCTTGGAAGTGAATGTGCTCACTGAAGAAATAAATACTAAGTAGGAAGGTAAAGTATAATGCCTTTGGGGACTCTCTCAATTAGGAGTTAGAAAATCAGAAATAACCAACATAGGAGACAGTCTAAGAGGTAGAAGGAGAAACAAAGTATAAATATCAGAGTCATTACACTCAAGCATTGGTGGTCCAAATACTAAATACTGAGAAGGTCTGAGAAACAGTTCCGGACAGAGGGATTTCCTACTCTCATCAAGTTCATGAGTTTTCCACATTCAATGTTTTCTTTTCTTATGTCCACTAAGATTTGAGCTCACTCTGAAAGCTTTTCCACATACCTCACATTCATAAGGTCTCTTCCCGGTATGAACTCGCTTATGTCCAATTAGAGCTGAGCCCTGGTGGAAAGACATGCCACACTCATAGCAGGTATATGGCTTCTCACCAGTGTGGATTCTTTTCTGCTGCCTCAGGACTGAACTACGAATAAAGGCCTTTCCACACACCTCACATGTGTAAGGTTTCTCTCCAGTGTGGATTCTCTGATGACTGGTTAAGGTCGACTTCTCACTGAAAGCTTTGCCACACTCTGAACATTTATAAGGCTTGTCTCCAGTGTGGATTCTCTGATGACTGGTTAAGGTCGACTTCTCACTGAAAGCTTTGCCACACTCTGAACATTTATAAGGCTTGTCTTCAGTGTGGATTCTTTGATGGACAGTAAGGCTGTACTGGTCCTGGAAAGCTTTCCCACAATCCCCACATCAGTAGGGTTTCTCCCCAGTGTGTTCTCGTTCATGAGCCCTGTGCTTACAGTTAATGATGAAAAGCTTTCCCACAATCCTCACACTTGTAAGGTTTCTCTTCAGTGTGGCTCTTTCCGTGTTTGGTGATCTCTGCCTTGATAGTGAAGGCTTTTCCACACTGGGGGCAACCATAATGTTTCTCCTGAGTGTGGATTCGTTTGTGTTTGCTTAGGTCTGAGCTCTGACTAAACGCCCTCCCACATTTGTTGCATTCATAAGGTTGCTCCCCAGTGTGGATTCTGACATGGATGGTAAGGTACTGCTTAAACCGGAAGGTCTTCCCACAGTCCCTTCACTCGTGACGCTTCTCTTCACCGTGGGTTACTTTATGTCGGCAAAGAGCTGATATACGATTGAAGGCCTTTCCACACTGGGTGCAGTTAAAGGGTTCTCTCCTGTGTGGATTATCTGGTGCACAGAAAGGTGATTTCTGGTCCTGAATGCTTTCCCACGCTCGTTACACACATGGGGTTTCTCACCAGAATGAATTCGCTCGTGGAGAATCAGGACTGAATGCCAATTAAAGTTTTTGCCACGCTTGGCACATTCATAGAATTTCTGTGCTGTAAGAACGCTATTATGTGGAATATGTTTTGAGTTTGGACTGCAGTTTTTTCTAAGTACCTTCTGGTTCTTTCCTTTTTTGAAAGTCACTTCCTCAGAGCTGCCTTTCTCTTCTCTCAATGCCTCCCTTATGGGTGTTTCCCACTGATTCTCTAATTTGACATCCGTACACAAACTCTCCAACTTCAGGATCCTGGGAAACAACTTCCAAGAGACTGTTATATTTCACCCTGTAGAGCTTTCCATTTTCAAAAACCTCTTGTTCTGAACTTGCCTTCTCATTCTCAGGCCATGTCTTATCAGTTGACAGTGAAATGAGAAAATAAAAACGTCAAAGGAAAGAGAGGTGGGAGAGGTAAAGCAGTATTAAGCAGTTTGAAGAGTAAGTGACTTTTCCATGCGAGAAAAATTGCTAACATTGTGGCCAAAGGTCAGGACAGTGTGAAATAATAAAAAAAAACCCACGATATTTTAAATTCAGCAAACTTTATTAAAAAATCCTTACAAACCTACTTCTTGAGTCTCTTTGTTTAGAGAATGGAAACTCCACACATCTAGTCTTCTAAGCTAGGAAACTGGAAATCATCTTCAACTCCTTTTCCCTCCTCTCATCTTTAGTTAGCTAATATTTTACAAATTCTACCTGTGAAGTGAGCTGCAAAGGGGTGCTGAAATGCTGATGCAGCCCCCTTTCAAGGAACTGTCTGCTTTGCTCCCAAGAGTGGGCCCTGGAAAGCCCATTTCTGCTGTGTGACTTGGCCCGTCTGTGTAGAGCAGATTAGATCTGAGCAATAACTGACTTAAACCAGGCAAGATTCTCTCATCTTGGAGTTTGGAATTGTGATCTGAGGGAAGGTAAGGCCAGGTTCTAAGAGTGGCTAAATCTTTAGCACTTAAATTTGAGAAGCAGTGCTGGTGCGATGGTATATGGTACAGGGGAGGGAATGTTCTGCCATGTGGTTTGAGAAACAAAGGTCAATCTGCCCAGAAAGAAGAATGAAGCTGACTCACAGAGAAGACAGATGGAGAGAGGGGTCTAACGGTGTTCCGGTCTCTTCTAGAGCCTGATGCATACCTGCCCTTAGGTTCCATGACACACCCTGAGTAATAAATTCATGTTGTTCTGTTTAAATTAGCTTGAATTAATTTCTCCCATCCAAGTACTACTAACCAGGCCCGACCCTGCTTAGCTTCTGAGATCAGAGGAGATCAGGCACATTCAGGGTGGTATGGCCATAGACAAGTTAATTTCCATTGTTGGCATCCAAAGAGTCCAAATCCATCTTCTTATCTCTTAATTCTATTCCTTCCTCTCCATTTCTACTGCCAGTGCATTCTTACTAGCTAACTGCAATACCCCTCAGATGTCCTTTAGCCTGGCTCCCCTCATCCATGCTCTACACCTATGGTCCCCACACCCTGGGACACCGCCAGGTACCAGTCAGTGGCCTGTTAGGAACCAGGCCGCACATCGCCACCTGATTTCTGGCACCCCTCCTTCCTCCAGCCATGCAAAAATTATCTTCCATGAAACTTAGGCACACAGCAGGAGGTAAATGGCAGGCAAGTGAAGCTTCATCTGTATTTAGAGCTACTCCCCATTGCTTGTATCACTGCCTGAGCTCTGCCTTCTGGCCCCTGCCCCCCACCCCCACATCTGTGGAAAAATTGTCTTCCATGAAACCAGTCCCTGGTGACAAAAAGGTTGGGGACTGCTGTTCTACACTGCTTCCAGAATATTCTTTCTATAAATCAAATCTAATCATGTCACTCTTTAGCTTAAAATACCTCAATAGCACTCCACAGTTAACCTGACAGGAAGGAAGTAAAGCAGAGTCAAGAGCCCTAGCGCATGAGTAAGACTCTCTGGGTTCAAATCCTACTTCTGATGACTAATAACTTGGGATGACTTAACTTCTCTCTTGTCTCAGTTGCTTTATCTATAAAATGGGCTCTAGACTATACACGAAAATTAAGCGAGTTAATAAGCACTTGCCACACTAAAGTACTTTAATCAATGTCAGCTGTTATTATAAGAGTAAAGTTCAAGGTCCATAGTTTATTGAAAACTTCTAAAAAACAAACAAACAAACATCCTTCAGATCATGATCTTCCCCCATTCTACTGCTCCCAAAACTTCCTAAGTCCAACCCAAGTCCTTTGCTCTGGTCATATTGAACTATTCTCAGTTCATATTCTTTTACTCCTCAATACTTTCTCACATTTTGTTCCCTTTACCTAGAATGCCTCTCCCCTCCTTCAATTTATTGTTCCCTGAGCACTGGTGTAACTGATACACAGAGGGATGATAAATTTTCTGAGCTTTCTTGAGGGCCAAATTGCAAAAAATCTATAGCTAGACTGCAAAGAACCAATTAGATAATGACAAGATAACTGCCCTAATAGTTTGTTGTTGGTGGTGGTTTTCTTTCTTTTTTCTTTTTGAGACAGAGTCTCACTCTGTTGCCCAGGTTAGAGTGCCACGGTGTCAGCCTAGCTCACAGCAACCTCCAACTCGTGGGCTCCCGTGATCCTCCTGCCTCAGCCTTCCGAGTAGCTGGGACTATAGGCATGTGCCACCATGCCCAGCTAATTTTTTCTATTTTCAGTTGCCCGGCTAATTTTTGTTTTCTATTTTTTAGTAGAGACGGGGGGGGGTCTCACTCCTGCTCAGGCTGGTCTCGAACTCCTGACCTCAAGGGATCCTCCTGCCTCAGCCCCCCAGCCAGTGGTTTTCTTTTCCTTAAATTTTTCTAAATGGATTTCCTTCCTGGGCCCTTCAGGATGGATGACTCACCACTAAGAACATTCTAAAGCCATTTTGTCACAAGGGAGGTTGGAGGAACTTAAAGCTTCTCTCTTACTCACCTGGGTAGGAGCAGCTCAGGGACTCCCTATCCTGCAGATCCTGAACACAGGGCTCTGCTCCTGGCTCCAGATGAGAGATCAAATGAGGTTTAGGAAATGTAAATCCTGGTTGTAGAGAAGCAATAAGTATGTACAGCAACATAGAACTGTCCTAACACTTAGCCCCGATCCTTCTGTTTGCATACAGAGACAAGAAAGAAACGTTTATTTAGGTAGAGGAAAGGGTTTATTCTGGGGTCTGGTAACATATTAGGGACTTTCGATTAGGGACTTTCTCAGAAAAGTCATACTCAGAAGGGCAGAGAAGATGATTCTGGGAAATAGTCGTTTGGGTGTATTTCCTTTTCTTTCTAGGAGAATGGGAGAGTCGGTATAGGAAGACTATCAGTTTTGGGCCCCTAGAAGGCACACAACTAGAAGCTGAATATAGAAAATCTAATAAAAAATAAGAGGCTTAAGGAAGCAAGAACCCAGGGAAAACAGAAGGTAAGTGTCTCCTTTTCACCCAGGCAGAGTCCCATTCCAAAGAATCAGAAAACAGCAACTAGGTTAGCCGAAAAATTATCTTGCTACATAACAGAGGCAACTCAAAATTCTAATTTTGGGGCAAGATCCCGATGATAAAGAATGAGGGCTGTGACTTTCAATCCACACAGTTGGGTGAGAAGTAGTTCCACATTACTAATCACTGGGGCCCTAATTTATCCTTTGTAGGTCATCTCAACCTTTCTGTAGTTTCAGTGTTTAAGGCAACTTATCTTTCTTGATACTTCATCAACAGAACCCTAAATCCAAGTCTAAGTGGTTGCTTTCTGCTGTTAAGATACCAGCAGGGTCAAAGACATTTATTGTTAAGACTTTAGGATCATCTTTGGCCTCAGGCTCCTAAAACTATCATTTGAATTTTAACAAACCTCTAATTTAGAGCCAAACTGACTTCTCATAGAAATTGCCCAAGAAGACTCTTTTTCAGTTAAGGCTACACTTAGCTTTTGACCAAAACCAAGTGTGTATCTCAACCATGGTGGTTCCATTCAGTTTTTCTACTGTCTCACTCTAAAAGCCCCAAGTTCCTTTATAATTTTTTGTTTCAAAAAAGTGCTAAAGTCACCTGGACAGCACAGAATTCACAACAGACACATTTTGCCCTGTAATATTATATAACAGCTCTTTTCCTTATAACTTCAACAAACTTAAAGCTCTCAATTGGATTTTTTCAACCAACATATTATTATCAACATTTTCCAATGTATAAAAAAGTTGAAAAATTATATAGCAAATATCCATATACCAACCACTTACATTCTACAATTAATAGTCTGCAGTATTTGCTTTATCACATACTTATCCATCTATCTATCCCTCTATCTTTTTATTAATCTATTTTCCTTTCTTTTTTTTTTTTGAGACATTGTCTCGATCTGTTGTCCCAGCTAGAGTGCAGTGGTGTTGTCATCACAGCTCACTGCAACCTCAAACTCCTGGGCTCAAGTCATTCACCTGCCTCAGCCTCCCAAGTAGCTGGGACTACAGGCAGATGCCACCACACCTGGCTAATTTTTCTACTTTTTTGTAGAGATTAGGTCTTGCTCTTACTCAGGCTGGTCTCAAACTCCTGGCCTCAAGTGATTCTCCTGCCTCGGCCTCCCAAAGTGCTAGGATTACAGGTGTGAGCCACTGCACCCAGCCTTATTCTTTTTTCTTTTTAGGTAAAATTTACATATAGTGGAATGCACATGTCTTAAGTATACCATTGGATAAATTTTGATAAAAGCATATCCTTATATAACTCAAATTCCCTTCTACATGTATCCCAATTGGTTTTTACAATATACTTTCCCAGCTCCCACAACTGGGAAAGTCGGTCAACTCATAGTGATTCTTTTTTTTTGAGACAGAGTCTCACTGTGTTGCCTGGGCTAGAGTGCCATGGCGTCATACTAGCTCACAGCAACCTCAAACTCCTGGGCTCAAGCGATCCTTCTGCCTCAGCCTCCCGAGTAGCTGGGACTACAGGCATGTGCCACCATGCCCGACTAATTTTTTCTATATATTTTTAGTTGTCCAGCTAATTTCTTTCCATTTTTTTAGTAGAGACAGGGTCTTGCTCTTACTCAGGCAGGTCTTGAACTCCTGACCTTGAGCAATCCTCCTACCTGGGCCTCCCAGAGTGCTAGGATTACAGGCGTGAGCCACCGCGCCCGGCCCATAGTGATTCTTAAACTTTATTTTTTAGCTTTAGAATTTGAAAAGTCAGTTTCTCTTTTCAAGTTAAAAATGAACTTAGGAGATAGGCTACATGCAAAAACAACAACATAAAACTGTTAAAGCAGTGTATAAATATTTTCTAGGATGAGATTAATACATTTCTATTATAAGTTAGGTAACTACAGATTTATGATCCTGAAAATCTACCATGGGAGGAGAATTAAAGACCTTTAGAGAAAAAGAGGACTGTGAGACTCAGGTCAGGGGTGGACCATAAGAATGTGTATATTTTTATATTTAAAAAAAAATAAAATTAGCACTCAAGTTTAGCAATATCTATTATTTTCTACTTCTAAACTTATAAAAGATGTTCTATATTATTAATTTTTACTTATGATTCTTTATACATGAGACATTTCAGGATTTCTCCTCTGGAAATTTCAACAATGTACTTTGAAATGCATTCTGCTTTGCTTTTTGTAGGTAACATATACTAAGAAGCCTACTTTTGGGTGTGCCTAGTCCTCTGTCCAAAAGCCTTTCCAATTCTGATTTTATGACTCCAGAATTGCTTGTGAACTAAAATAAAATTTTAAGGCCTAACCTCCCCCCACCGGCTGACTAAATGGACCCCCTCATGGCCAAAGGAATATCCTATAACTAAATTGCCTGCCAGGAGGTCAGACATGCCTCATCAAGCCCCCCTCCCTTCTTGGGGACATCCTTTATAACCCATTAACAGGCCTAAGTGTATACAAGACAAACCTACAGGTCCTCAATTTACACAACAAATATATGTCCAGTGGCTTATCTCTGATAAACAGCTCCTATGTTAAAGCATTCCAAGCCTTTAGACAAAGCTTCAGGTCTTTAACCAATTACAAGTTCAAAGAATCTTTAAACCCACATATAACCTGTAAGCCCCTGCTTTGAGATGACCCACCTTTTCGTGCCAAACCAATGTATGCCTCCTCTGTATTGATTTATGACTTTACCTGTAACCTCTGTCTCCTTGAAATGTATAAAACCAAACTGTAACCCAGCCACACCAAGTCCACTTGCTCAAAACTTCTTGAGCATGGCTCTGAGTCATGGTCCTCAAATTTGGCTCAGAATAAATCTCTTTAAAATTACTTTACAGAGTTTGGCTTTTTTCTCCGTTGACATGCTAAATATCATTTCCTAGGTCCCACCACTACCAGCCCCTTTTATACAAATCTTAACCACTTTCCTCTTCACATATGCCACCAAAGGGCACAAAGCTTCATGGGAAAACCTTTGCTCCTTCTTTTGCCACTGCTTTATCTTATATTTCTCAGGTACCTTTACTATAATTTAAAAGTCTCATGGTTCCAAAAAGGCCTATAGAAGTAAAACTATATATATTCAATTTTACATGTTGGCAAAATTGTCGTTGGGTAGGAGCTACTGAATTATACCATGAGTTTTATATATGTAAATATTTATGTACAAATATATATGCTATTAATCATCTATATCAAGTTATACATATGGTAAATGAGATTGAATGCATTCAATTTCTTTGATAAATTGCTTTGTAGAATCTTATATGAATCTTTGATGATTTTTTCCAAATTTGATTTAAGATGAGGACAAAAACTGAATAATTTAGTTCCTCAATACTGATCTGAGCCAAGTACAGAAATCATAGAAGATTTTCTATAAATGCTCAATAATGAATAGATTTTTGGGCTCCAGGATGGCATCTTCTACCCAATCTGTATCCATAGTCCATTCTCAGCTGCCATGACTCCTGTCATAATACCCTGTGTACCTCACCTCTTTCCTGAAGGAGCCAGGTATCAGGGGCGGTCCAAAGCAGCTGGGTTGGTGGTCCTGGACTCTCATGCAATGGAACAACCTATTGCAGGGCACAGAATCAATTCAGGGAGGTTATGGAGGTGAGAAAAATACATAGGAAGATGCAACCAACCATAAAAGTTTATACATGGAAATTGTCACTCAGAAATATCAAGAGGGGGAAGGAAATCATGGACTCAGTTCCTAATATACCTTATGAAAAACAGAAAAAGATTTAATGATTACTAGGTCAAGCAGGAAAAATAGTATCTAGAAAAAAAGACCACCACCATTCCCATAGCTTTCCATTTTTCTTGGACTCGCTTCTTTGTGATGTACTGTGAACCTTTTTCTTCTTTCTTCCTCCATCTTTTTACCCAGCTTTCTTTGCAGTCTTCCACCACTGTTCTGGTTTTTTCCTGCTGGTCAGATCCAGCTCCCAAGCAAGTTATTAAGTGACTCCTGGTTGATGCCAGCCTCCTTTGGGAACATAAATCTTGGTGGTGCCAGCCAAGGGCCATTCCTGACCCACAGGGCATCTTGTTTGGTTTGATGTGTCAAATACTGCCCTGGATTTGGGGTTCATCAGCAATATTAAGCCAGCTGAGATCTCATATCTTGTTTTTCTGCACATTTGATGAAGGGAAAAGAAAAGAGAGGAATGTGATCACACAAAAATGAGGTAATCACTGAGGACCTGAGGCATCTGTGGGAGATGAGAGCGCACAGGAAGACAAATTAAAAATGTGAATATATCCACAATACAATCTCTACTGCTAACCAACATCACCTGTACCTCCCCTCTTCCCCTTTATTACAGTAGCCTTTTAACTGATCTCCTTGCTTCTATCCTTGCCTTCCTTCTGTCCCCTCTTAAATAGAAGTCTGTTTACAACTTAAGTTGGATCATTTCATCTCTCTGCTCAAAATTCTCCAATGGCTCACCCTTACTCAAAATACAGGCTGAAGTCCTTACAGAGGCATACAAGGCCCTACAGAATGTGCCCATTACTTCTAACCTCCTCTCCTACTCACCTCAAATAAAAGCTGAAGTCCTTAACAGTGGCATACAAGTCCATAAGATGTGACCACTACCTCTGATCCCCTCTTCTACTACTCTCTTCTTCATTCAGTCTTCTTCAGTCACACTGACCTTTCTCTTCCACCTTAGGCAAATTTCCACCTTAGAGCCTTTCCACTGGCTGTTCCCATCACCTCAAACTAGCCCTATGATTTCTTGCCTTCTCCAAGTGTTGCTAATACATCATCTTCCCCAGAAGGTCTACTTTAAGTATCTTATTTAATTTTTTTTTTTTTTTTTCTGAGACAGAGTCTCACTCTGTTGCCCGAGCTAGAGTGCTATGGCATCAGCCTAGCTCACAGCAACCTCAAACTCCTGGGCTCAAGCAATCCTGCTGCCTCAGCCTCCTGAGTAGCTGGGACTACAGGCATGTGCCACCATTCCCAGCTAATTTTTTCTATATATATTTTCAGTCGTCCAGCTAATTTCTTTCTATTTTTAGTAGAGATGGGGGTCTTGTTCTTGCTCAGGCTGGTCTCGAACTCCCAAGCTCAAACAATCCACCCACCTCGGCCTCCCAGAGTGCTAGGATTACAGGCGTGAGCCGCTGCACCTGGCCCGAAGTATCGTATTTAAAATTGCAATCTATACCCTCCTTTCAATCCTCATATGCCTTATCTTGATTTACATTAATTCTTCTTCTTTTTCTTTATGGCACTTCATCACTTTCCAACATGGTGCATAAGTTACTTAAGTCAACAGAAAAAAAAGCCAAACTCTGTAAAATAATTTTAAAGAGATTTACTCTGTGCCAAATTTGAGGACCATGAACCAGAGCCATGCCCAAGAAGCCTTGAGTGAGTGGACTCAGTGTGGCTGGGTTACAGTTTGGTTTTATACATTTCAGGGAAACAGGGGTTACAGGTAAAGTCATAAATGAATATGTGGGAGGCATACATTGGTTTGGCCGGAAAAGGTGGGCCATCTGGAAGCAAGGGCTTACAGGTTATAGGTGAGTTTAAATATTCTTTGACTTGTGATTGGTTAAAGACATGAAGCTTTGTCTAAAGGCTTCGAATGTTTTAACATAAGGAGCTGTTTATCAGAGATAAGTCACCTGACATAGATTTGTTGTATAAATTGAGGACCTGCAGGTTTGTCTTGTATACCCTTAGGCCTATTAATGGGTTACAAAGGATGTCTCCAAGAAGGGGAGGGGCATGATGAGTCCTGTCTGACTTCTCTCCTCCTGGCAGACAATTTAGTTTTTTTAGTTTTGGGATATCCTCTTGGCCAAGAGGGGGTCCATTCAATCAGCTGGTTGGGTGGAGGGGGCGGGTAAGCCTTAAGATTTTATTTTAGTTCACATTTATAAACTACCGTTTATTGTTATTCTACCCTCGCTAAAACGTAGGCCCCGTAGGCTCCAAGAAGGTAGGGATTTTTGTCTTGTTCACTGTTGCATACCCAACGCCTAAAGCAGTGCTTGCATTAGTAAGCGCTGGATTAAAAATTGGCTGAATGAATGAACACATGAATGGATCCCATAAAGAAGAATAAAAAGAATGGGTCGGGGACCCTGGGAGCAAGAGTGGGAGGAGGTAGGAAAAATGGGCGGGAAAAGCCCATCCTGGGGAATGGCTTTGAGGAAAGAAACTGTAGCGGACCTCCTCCCCCTATCTGGCCCCAAAGACCCCTACCCTGCCCGCAACTCCGGGAGTCCTAAGGGAGAGGGCGTATTTAAGAGAGACATACGGCGCCCGGGTCCTCCCCACTCGGCGGCAGATCCTGTCCCACGCCTGCCCAAGGAACAGACCTTGCAGCCGACACTCCGCCCGAAAAATGAGAAACATAAATATAGACTAGCTCCATTTCCTGGTCGGCCAACAATCGTTTCCCGCGATTTTCTAGCAAACGTCTCAACTCTCTGGTTGAGGCGTTCCCTAGAAATTCCCGGCCCTCCCTCCTCTGGGTTTAGCCTTGGAGGGGTTTGGGAGCGTAGAGGGGGGGTCGAAAGCCTCAAGGTTGCAGAAACGTTACCACCATATTGACCTATTACTATCGCGGAGGGAAATCTGGATAGGAATGGACAGAAGTTTTGCGACACATATATGAAAAAAGTTACTTATTAGCTAAGAACACAAGTAATTGTCTTTCTCAAAAATAGGTGCATGAAGACGATTTTAAACCTACACAAAAGTTGAGAGAAAAGTATAATGAACTCCCATATACCGATCATTCAAATTTAAAAATAAATAAAATTCTGCCACACTTGTTACATTCATCTCCTCCATTTTCGTTGCTGAAATATTTTAAAGCAAACCCCAAACGTGTTATCTCAACTTCATTATGCATCTCTAAAAAAATGGACATTTTCTTATAGAATCACAATACTGTTATCCCGTCTAACAAAATAATACCTGGTTGTCTAATACTGAGTTTGTATTAAATTTCTCTAGACACATAAATACACTTCTTATAGTTGTCTTTTTTGACTCAAGATCTGAAGTTTACATGTTTAATTTGGTTATATCTCTTAATTCTTTTAAAATTCAGATCTAGAATAATTCCTCTTTCCTTCCTTCATTTTTTTCCCCAGTAAAATCAACTCATTGAACAAATTGTGTAATTTGTCCTGTATGTTCCCCATGCTGGCTTTGTCTATCTGTGTCTTCATTTAATCAGTTTCTGTAGCCTTGTATTTCCTCTAAACTAGACACTAGCTGTAAAGGTTTGATTAGAGTTAGGTTTAACTTTTTTGGTAAGAATTCTTCTTTGGTGGTGCTTTGTATATCTTATTGCTGCACATCAGGAGGCACGTGATGCTCCTTTCACTTTTTGTGATGCTTAAGATTGATCAGTGGGTTCAATACTTAGCTGGATCCCTCCAGGTAAAGTTTTCCATCACCATTTAATCTACTGATCTTTGCCAGAATCAACCATTTCTCTCTCCTGTCCAGTCCCTTCCCTCCCCTCCCCTTCCCTTCCCTTTTCTTTGTCTCACTGTGTCGCCCAGGCTACAGTGCAGTGGTGTCATCATACCTCACTGGAACCTCAAACTTCCGGGCTCAAGCAATCCTCCTGCCTCCTCCTGTCTTCCAAGTTGGGACGACAGGTGTGTGCCACCATGCCTAGTTAATTTTTTTTTTTTAATTTTTTTGTAGAGACAGGAGTCTCACTCTTGCTCAGGCTGCTCTTGAACTCCTGGTCTTAAGCAATCCTCCTACCTTGGCCTCCCAAAGTGCTAGGATTTGTCAACGGAAAAAAAGACCAAACTCTGCAAAATAATTTTAAAGAGATTTACTCTGAGCCACATTTGAAGACCATGACCCGGAGCCACGCCCAAAAGGTCTTGAGCAGTGGACTCGCAGAGCTTGGGTTACAGTTTGGTTTTATACATTTCAGGGAGACAGGGGTTACAGGAAAAGTCATAAATCAATATGTAGGAGGCATACATTGGTTTGGCCCGAAAAGGTGGGCCATCTCGAAGCGGGGGCTTACAGGTTGTAGGTGGGTTTAAAGATTCTTTGGCCTGTAATTGGTTAAAGACATGAAGCTTTGTCTAAAGGCTTGGAATGTTTCAACATAAAGAGCTGTTTATCAGAGAGAAGCCACTGGACATAGATTTGTTGTGTAAATTGAGGACCTGCAGGTTTGTCTTGCATACTCTTAGGCCTGTTAAAGGGTTACAAAGGATGTCACCAAGAAGGGAGGGGAACATGATAAGGCATGTCTGACCTCCCTCCTCTTGGCAGGCAATTTAGTTTCAGGATATTCCTTTGGCCACAAGGGGTTCCATTTAGTCAGCTGGTGGGGGTGAGTCTTAAAATTTTATTTTAGTTCACAGATTCCAGGTGTGAGCCACCATGACCAGCGCGATATTTCCCTTTTTAAAAGGATAATTTTCCATAATTTTATTGTCAAAAGTTTATATTCTAATTCAAGAGTGAACAATCTAAAAAGCATTTGCCATATAGAGGAAACTTAAATTCATATTATTAAGTGAAAGAAGACAATTTGAAAAGGCTACCTCCTGTATGATT